GGAGCCGCAGGAGCTTTATGGATAATTTGGGTAAAAATTAGGTAGCTCATTAATATTCTATTTTGTGGCTATCGATCTTCGATCCACTATCGGAGAAAAATGCGAGCCGAAACCTATACTCGTCCGGGGTATACCATTGCGACCGACAGCGCGACCTCGAGTTTTTTGTTGAAAATTTTATAACAAGCTTGCTTTATATACGTGCGCATGCAATGTGTTGGTGGCTTGACAGTGATTATCATGAGCCTTTTACTTCTGCCATTGGGCTTCGATTCCCGTCATTTCTGCTGCATGTTGTTTGATCTTAATTTCGCCTCAGTTACATAAAAAAGCTGGAAAAAGAATGCTCCCTGATTGATATTTTGACAAGCACCGAAGGTTATCTTTTGGTGCTTCGCTTTCTCAGTTCCGATCGAAAAGGCATAGCACTTACTGCATGGGCCTCTTTGCATGAGGAGAACAGGTTAATCTCTAGGGTAAGTAGGGTTAGCGGAGATAAAACCCTGGGTATGAATTTCCACTGTTAATTTCCTTTCTCATAGCCTTGCACAAAGTCCGTTAATGCGCATAAACACAAAGTAAACTTTTACTCTGGCTGAAATACTATAATACAAAACATAATCCGAAGATAAGCATCTTGAAACCCAAAATATGAGTCAAACAAGAAAGTGCCTTGACTCATATTTGACTCATATTTTGGGTTTCAAGATGCTTATCTTCGGATTATGTTTTGTATTATATTTTTTGAAATTGTCGGCTCAATGTTTTTGAAATACTATGGATCATTTCTTTGTATAGGAGTGCAAGCATTTTATAAACGTCCAATATTATCAGGCCGATATAACCGTTTAAATACTGTATATATAACTTTTACCATTGGGCGGAAATCAACCCGCGGACGAGGGTTAAAAGTGCGTTCATCCTCAATTATTGGACTTATACTGTATATATAGTTCTCTCTGGCTTAAATTTTATACCCTGAGAAAAATTGTTTTCAAACATTAAAATGTATATAGAGATGAAAGTGAGACAGCCGTCACCCTGAATGCCTTTGAACACTTTTTTGTATTGTAAATTGTCTATTGAATGAAGCGAATATACAAATACAATTGTGTTTTTTTCACAACCTTAAATTAGGAAATAATAAAGTATAAAACAAATTCAGAATAGACATTCTCCTATATCACTCTAATAAACACTGCTTTTCATAGCTGAAACCTCCCTTGTTCATTCGATCGTTTTATACTTCGTTTTTGTACTGCCATAAACAAACAGGAAGAATTTTTAAATGACAGGTATTTATGCACATAAATGCCATTTACGTTAAATTATAATTGTTAAGTCGCCATGGTTTCTAAAGGAAATTGCATAGTAATACCGGCTGTGAACTAAATTTCTATTGACTATATTCTGACATAATATTTACTTCTGGAAGTAGCGAACAGACTGAGTGGACACTAAAGCCAGCGAAGGCCTTCATTTGTTTCAACGGTTCAACGATGTCATGTATTAAGGTATGATTATGTATATTATATGAATGATATAATAGAATTATAATAAATATTTTTCACACCAATTTCTACTTATTGCATGGCCACTGTAGTGTATAACTATATAGTCATTATATAGACACTATAGAGTATAGAATATTATCGTCTATAAGGCTTATATAGGCGCGAAGAGTCAATTAAATGTTCCTATATATTGGTCAGCTTTCAGTTTGGGTTTACAGTACCCACAGTTTACAGTTGCCTAAAATGTTCCAATATAACCCGCATAGTATATAAGTATTGAATGTTTTAACTTTTATCATATGTATCAAATGCTAAGTCAACGACTCGAGGCTGCTATGTAGCTTTCTGAGTCATGACGGGGTTTACATGCAGTATACCCACTATATTTTTACACGTAGATTGTAAAATTTACCGATATTACTCGTAACAATAGGTAATCAATGTTTTATGTATCAGATGTTAAGTCGTAGACTTTTAGAAATGGGAGTCAAATTTTGCAATATTTATGCGAGTTCAATATAATTAGTTATATAACAATTGCGTATAATCATTCATTGCGAGCAAATTATTCAGCATGTCAATGTATTGTGAGTATATGGATTCATGTTAATAATTGTGCTTATTCTATACTGGTATTTCGTTTAAATATGATTTGTTTAATATTATGTGATTATTCTTTAAGAAATTCATCCTATATATAATGTAACTAAGCTGTAAGAAATTCATCTATAGGCTATAATAGGCTATAATTTAAGTAATGTAACTAACTTTTATTTGTTGATCAGTCAAGTGTATTTTGTACGTGCACTCAAATATATCAAAGAAATATACTATGAGATGACAGAGCATTGGGCTAGTATTTTAAAGGTCGTAGGTTCGATTCCCACCGTGGCCGGGTATATTTTTCAAGCTCGCTCGGTGTGGATATGCACTCAGAATAACATCACAAACATCAAACAATACAACAAAGTTTAAAATAATAAACGACTCTAAATCGCGACTCTTAGGCATGTTTCATACGTCGAATTTAATTCAGACGAATTTAATTCGTTATTAAATTCGTCAATTGGTCGACACTAAAATGGTTTCGTTTCAAACGACGAATTTAATTACAAAACAAGCAAGGTGCCATTGAAGATATGAATGAGGATCTTTTGAAAGTGCGAAACTGGTGTTTCAACAACCTTCTCTTATTAAATCCAAAAAAGACAAAGCTCATGGTTTTCGGAAGTAGACACAAATTAGCGGACCTAAATGAGTTTAGCCTATCCCTACTTGGGAAAAATATATTCCCTTCCGAAACAGTGAAAGATCTAGGAGTTACTCTTGACCCTCTCCTTTCTTATGACGAACACATAACTAAGACGATCTCTTCGTGTATGTCCCGCCTCGGTCAGATAAATCGTGTTAAGCATGTACTGGACAGGCAAACACTTATCACTGTAATAAACGCTCTTGTTTTCAGCAAGTTATTTTACTGTTCGAATGTTTGGGCCAATACAACTGGCAAAAACATAAACAAATTACAATCTGTACAGAACTTTGCCTGTCGTATCGTTAGCGGAGCACGAAAGTATGATCATGTTACACCACTTTTAAAAGAATTATTAAGATGGCTTCCTGTGGCAACTCAGTTGTACTATCGTAGCGCCACTATGGCTTTTAAGTGCATGACGGGCTGTGTCCCAGCTTATATTTCATCCCAATTTATAAAGCGTCAGGAAGTATCTAACCATCATACTAGGAATTCACAACAACTTAATATTCCGTTATTTAAAACGGCAACAGGTCAACGGACATTTTATTACAAGATTGTTAGTCTATGGAATTCTTTAGACTCTTCTTTAAAACTTTGTGAATCAGTTGATTCTTTTAAACGTCGTTTGAAGACGAAGTTATTGCATGAGTTTTTGAGCAACTAGGTTCTTACGCATATATTATAGGCTTGTAATTGTATTATTAATATTATATAGTTATTATAAATTAGTTATTCTGCATGTAATTAGGTAATTGTCTTTGAAAAGCCTCTATGGGGAAAGATAATAAAGTATCAATCAATCAATCAATCAATTCAGACGAATTCATTTCATGTTTAGCGATCATGGTTACCCAGAAGTAAAAAACCACGAGACCAGAAAGAGAGAAACAGACTTTAACATAATTTATGCATTTAATTCGACACGACGATAACACGTCGTATGAAACGAAGACGCGCTACAGACGTTGTATCCGTCTGACCATGACGGATACAACGTCTTGGACGAATTTAATTCATCAGACGGATTTAATTCGTTTCATACGACGCACTAACGTCGCATTTAATAAGGTACTTGCCCATCCTAAATTTCGGTCAAAAGTTGGAAATTTTCTATAATTTTTATTGGCTTTACTGACTTCTTTTATCATTGTATTTTCACCCCCTGAACTTTATTTGTCCGTGTTTGATACAGTTTCTTCAAAATATCCATTTTTTCTGGAAGGATGTCAGTAAATTTTGCATAGCAACCATTAGCGAAGTTTTTTTTTTTTTGGTTGCTATGGGCTTTCTATCCCCAAACTGCATATTTTTTGCCCATAACCCCTCGGATACACTATAGACATCCCCCCCCTATTTCTGTGACTGGAATGAAGCCTGATCGCAGGCCTAAACACTGAATTTTGCCTGTCTTTTTACGCTGTGCCTGTATTGCAAAGATCAACAACTGCGAAGTGAAATTTTGTATACGACAATCTCTTTCAATCTAGTTATATTTGAAGCGTTTTAAAGTTATTTTTTAACTTGAAAATGGCGAGGGAAGATAGGAGAAAGAGTAGATCGGCAAAGAAAAGAAAAAGGAGAGGATTTTTTGGCCATAGACCGCAGGAGAAAGCTGGCGAGTTTAGGAATTGTGCTGTGACTATGGACGCGAATGTCCGCAGTTTGTCTGTTGTTAGCGACGTCCCAGTGTCTAATTTATCAGCCGATCACGAGAGTATTTCATCTAAGAAACTGCTGAACAGTTCCTTCGAGAAATTCGAGAGTAGAAGAGGAATTTTGACCCGAAAACATGCGAAAGATAT